CTATTCAGTCCTTTTCATCCTTTTCGTCCTTTTCGTTATTTTCGTCCTTTCAGTCCTTTTCGTCCTTATAGTCTTTTTCGTACTTTTCGTCCTTTTCGTATTTTTCGTATTTTTTGTATTTTTCGATAAATCGAAATGGCCCAATTGAAAAATGAAAAATCGAAAAATTTGAAATTGAGAAAAATCGATAAATCGAAAAAATAAAAAATTAAAGAATCAGGAAATTCAGCAATCAGTCTTTTTCGTTCTTTTCGTCCTTTTCGTCATTTTCGTCCTTTCAGTCCTTTCAGTGCTTTTCGTCCTTATAGTCTTTTTTGTACTTTTCGTCTTTTTCGTCCTTTTCGTCCTTTTCGTCCTTTTCGTTATTTTCGACTTTTTCGTCCTGTAGGTCCCTTAGATCCTATTCGTCTTTTTGTCCTTTTCGTCCTTTTCGTCCTTATAGTCTTTTTCGTACTTTTCGTCCTTTTCGTCCTTTTCGTGTTTTTCGTATTTTTTGTATTTTTCGATAAATCGAAATGGCCCAATTGAAAAATGAAAAATCGAAAAATTTGAAATTGAAAAAAATCGATAAATCGAAAAAATGAAAAATTAAAGAATCAGGAAATTCAGCAATCAGAAAATTGAAACTTCGAAATCTCGATAAATAGTAAAATCGAAAAAACGAGAATTCGAGAAATCGAAACATAAAATTCGAAAAATGGAAAAATCCAAAATTTTCGTCCTTTTAGTCCTTTTCGTCCTTTTCGTCCTTTTCGTTATTTTCGACTTTTTCGTCCTTTTGGTCGTTTAGATCTTATTCGTCTTTTTGTCCTTTCCGTCCTTTTCGTCCTCTTCGTTCTATTCGTCCTTTTCGTCCTTTTCGGCCTTTTCCATTATTTTCGCCCTTTTCGTATTTTTCGTCCTTTCCGCATTGTTCGTCCTTTTCTTCCTTCTCGTTCATTTCGTCCTTTTCGCCCTTTTCGTCCTTTTCGCCCTTTTCGTCATTTTCGTTCTTGTGGTCCATCAAGCGTCCTTTTAGTCCTTTTAGTCCTTTTAGTCCTTTAAATCCTTTTCGTCCTTTTCATCCATTCAGTCCTTTTCTTCCTTTCAGCCCTTTCTGGCCTTTCAGTCCTTTTCGTCGTTATAGTCATTTTCGTACATTTCGTTCTTTTCGTCCTTTTCGTTATTTTCGTCCTTTTCGTCCTCTTCGTCCTTTACGTCTTTTTCGTCCTTTCAGACCTTTCAGTACTTTACGTCCTTATGGTCCTTTTCGTAATTTTTGTCCTTTTGGTCCTTTCCGTCCTTTTAATCCTATTCGTAATTTTCGTCCTTTTCGTTATTTTCATCCTTTCAGTACTTTTCGTCCTTTCCGTCCTTTTCGTCCTTATCGTCCTTTTAGCCCTTTTAGTCCTTTTAATTCTTTTCGTCCTTTTGGCCCTTTTCGTCCTTTTCGGCCTTTTCATTCTTTTCGTCCTTTTCGTCTTCCTATTCGTCCTTTTTGGCCTTTTTCATTATTTTCGCCCTTTTCATCCTTTTCGTATTTTTCGTTCTTTGGGTCCTTTGCGTCCTTTTCATCATTTCAGTTCTTTCGGTACTTTCTGGTCCTTTTCGTCCTTATAATCCTTTTCGTCCTTTTCATCCTTTTCGTCCTTTTCGTCCTTTTCGCACTTTTAGTCCTTTTAGTCCTTTTAGTGCTTTCAATCCTTTTCGTCCTTTTCATCCATTCAGTACTTTTCGTCCTTTTCGTTATTTTCGTCCTTTTCGTCGTTTTGGTCCTTTTCGTCTATCGAAAACTCTTAAATATAAAAAATGTGAAGAAACGAAAAGCTAAAAAATCGAGTAACTGAAACATCAGGTCAAAAATTTGAAAACTATTAAATCGAAAATTCAAAAATTAAAACTTCAAACATTGAAAAACAGAAAAATCGAAGGGCTGAAACATCGTCAAATGAAAACCTAATGTTTAAAAAATCATAAAATTAAGATCTAGAACAAGTGAAGAATAAAAAAATTGAAAAAGCGGGAAATCAAAAATTTTCAAAAATCGTAAAGTTTAAAATTTCAAAAATCAGGTTATGGAAAAATCGAAAAATCGAAAGATGAAAACTTAAAAATTCAAAAATTGAAAAACAGAAATATGCAAGGACTGATGACACATCGAGAAAACGAAAAATCTAAAATTTAAAAAATCGAAAAACTAAGATGTAGAATTGAAGAATCAAAAAAATCGAAACCTCAAAAAATCGTAAAATCGAAAAACAAAAAATCAAAAACCCGAAAAATCAAATAATTGAAAAATCTAAAATTCCAAAATTCGAAAAATTGAAAAATAGGAAAATCAAAACATTGAAAACACGGAAAATCTAAAATTTAAAATATGGAGAAACAGAAGAATCGAAAAAGTGAAAAATCGAGAAATTAATGCATAAAAAAATAAAAAAATTAAAAAAGTTAAAATCGAAAAATCAAAAAAAATTCAAAAATCAAAAAAATTAAATATCGGGAAATAGTGAAATCGCAAAATCGAAAGTCGAAAATGTGAAATTTGAAAAACTGAAACTGAAGAGATTGAAAAAATCGATAAATCAAGAAATCGAAATAGCCCAAACGAAAAACTGAAAAGTGAAACATTTTAAATTCGACAAAATCGATAATTCGAAAGATCAAAAAATCGAAAAACGAAAATTTGAGAAATCGAGAAATAGAAAAATCTAAAATTTATAAATTTGGCATTGAAAAATCGAAAAATTAAATACTAGATAAACTGAAAAGTTCCAAAACTGAAATGTCCAAAAATTGAAAAATCGAAACATCGAAAAATTGAAAGATCAAAAAAATCGAAAATCGAAAAATCGAAAAATTGAAACATCGAGAAGCCGAACATGAAATAATCGAACGAAAAATTAAATTGAAATTTTTAAAATTATTAAAATTTTAAACATTACGAGCTTACTTAATGCGTCATTTTTCGGATTATCTCGGCTAATTGAGCTCCTAACTTTGTCAAAATTGGTCTGCTTCCCAGTTCGAACCTTCTGAATACGAGTCAGGGTTGATACAGGAAGAGAACTCGAAAAGAAAATTGTAGAAGGGCTTGGTGTATTTAACACATCAAAGCTCTTCCTTTAAAAGCAAGAGACTTGTGTCGGGGTCTGTAAATGGATATTTGAATTATTTTAAAACCTACCTACGCACTGAGCTGTGTAATAAAATTTGTTCTTTAATGGTTTACGCAGAAAAACAGATACGGTTTATTGAATTGTGGATTTTGCCAATGGAATTCCCCCGACTCTTTCACCCAAAACTCGCGATAGATCATGTTTCTTTATAGTACCGGAAATATTGTACACATGTGCTTAGGGGTAAAGAAAGTTTAGATTTTAGAGCAAAATAAAAATGCTCTTTGTCGTGTACGCCAATAAATTAAATTCATCAAAAAAAGTTCATCACAATTTGTGAAATGAAAGTAAAAAACCCGTGACGATTTTTATAAAAATGTAAATTTCGGAAGCTCGTGTAAAACTACCAATGTAAATGTGTCACAGGCCCGCGCTCTATGAAAACTAATTAGTCCAAAGGGATTTATGTGCTGCCTGATGCATCAACTTCAAACATCACAGATTAATCTTTGCAGTTTAATTTGATAAATCGCGCCCTCACACAGAATTAATTAGTATTTGATAGACCACACTTGCATTATTTATGCGCCAAGTTTCCTTTGAAGAAAATCTCTAACGAGCGAATTTCCTCCATCAATAGTTGAAAATTTTCAGCGTGTTCAGGTGTTAAATTAACTCCGTCTGATGATCCCGAGCTACTATTTCTTGCAAAACTTCGCCATAACGCCTCAACTTCCAACACCTCACTCGCATTTTATTAAAAGACAAAAGATCCTTGCCCCTGTTGAAAAACTGCGGTAATAACAATTTACCAAACTGAAAGCTTGAAGCAGTTCTCGTCAAGAGTTCTTCTTTTGTTGAGAACTTGCAAACTCGGAAGATTAACGAATTAAGTGAGAGCTCAAAGCTGCGATGTTTGTGCATGTTGTTGAAAATTGTTATTCGAGTTGGGAGAATTATGTGAATTGGGCATTAGACGAGAAAATTGTGCAGATATGTCCTGACATGTAACGTTAATTGCGAAAGAGAAATGGAATCGCTTCCGAGCTGACATATTTACAGAGTGGATTTTAAATCGATTATTACACCGCTTTGAGTGTACACATACATTACCTTGTCACAAATAGGCGTGATTAGTATTGGTAGTTATGCAAGCGGCACGGTATAATGAGGATTTAACCAAACAGGTGAGGAATTGTCAACAATTGGGTGATTAATCGAAGTCAACATTGCACAATTTTTTCAGACATTCAGCCTGAAAAAATCTCGCGAGATTTAGCCATGATAGGCAATCTACATTTTTCTCGTTTGTTATTTTGGCCGGAAGCCTAAACTATTTAAAAAAACGGCGTGCCGCAACGCGTCCGACTCGAACTTTCTTCATTCTCCTGTAACTTCTCCGCTAAATGATTTTCTTAATAAGTAAAACAAAGTGAAAGGGAAAGTTCTTCAATTTTAGGCTCGATCCATAAAAAATGCAAATTTTGACCTGCTACTCGGATCCTCAGGGTGAGGCGCCTGCACTAAAATAAATACCGAACTCGAAAGTTAGTCGTCGAGATCTCAATGAAGCTATTTTTGGGTGTTTAGTGCGTATTAATGAGCAGCTATTTCAGTTTGTGTGGTAGAGCTTATTACCCAGCACAGCGCGATTAGCTCTTAAATGAGATCCATGCATAATGCGCAATTACCCAATCTCAAAAACCTGTTTATGCGAAGCCTTTGACGTGTTCATCCACAAGAGATCCTTCAGTTGTTGCACTAAGAGCATTTAGCACCTCTGAAGAACTAATCCTTTAGAGGAGCGCTAGCGGCTGCTGTGTATCGTGTGTAATCAGTCTGTTAGTGTAGATTATTCTATCTCGCATACACAATCAGCTAGTTATCTCGAGAATTTCCTCCCTAGAGAGGCTTAATCAACTTGTACGACGTCAAGGTGTGCTGCTGCCCATCGATAATGCCTGAGCTTACTTCTTGCGGGAGCGCCGCAGACTCTGGGAGCTTAACCCAATAAAATGTATGCGGAGGATTACAGTTGTTTACTTATGTTGCGTCGGAACAAGAACATTTTGTAAAAAGATTTTTTTTACGAAAAAAATGAGAAAAGAACCTGGAGTTTTTGATAATTAAAAATAAATAAAACTCGTTTAGTGGCAACTGGTTATTTTTTATTTACTTATTGTATTAATAGTAGTTTTATTATTTCGGTTAACAATTTTTGGTTTTAATAGTTAGGTATTCAAAAAAATTGCACCTGAGTAATTTTGTCTTTTCGTTTCTCTTTTCTCTCTCCTCAATTTCTTATTCTCCATAGGCTCCTGAGGTTGATTAAATGAAGACAGTTGTAAGTGATTTTTGTTGTTCTTCCCGTTCTTTCTTTCTTTCCTTCTTTCTTTATTTCCATTTTTCCCTCTTTTTCCTCTCTCCGTTTCTCCCTTCCTCCTTTCTTCTTTTTCCACTTTTCTTTCCTGCTTTACTGTCTTCCTTCCTTTCGCTCTTTCTATGTTTCTCTCTTTCTTTCTGGTTTCGTTCCCTCTTTTCCTCTTTCTCTCGTTCGCTTTTTCTCCCTTTGTCTGTCTTTCCATTCCCCTCTTTCTTTCTATTTTTCTCTATTTTTCCCCTTTTTAATTATTCCCCTTTTCTACATTTCTCCCTTTCTCGTTTTTCTATTTCCTAATTTTCTTCTTTTTTTCTCTCGTTTTCCCCTTTTTAATTTTCTCTCTTTCTCCCTGTCCAGCTTCCTTCCTTTTCTTTCATTCCTTCTTCCTTTCTGTTTTTTTCCCTCTAAGTTTTATAATATTGTCTTTTGCTTCGTTCGTTCTACGAAAAAAATTTGTAGTCATACGATGATTGATTTTTATAAATTCTTGTAGAGATTTTTTTTTTACTCCTTTCTGCTAATAAACCATTTCTACACTTTCTGATTCTGATTAGATGAAGACAGTTGTAAGTGCTTTTTGTTGTTCTTCTCGTTCTTTCTTTCCTTCTTCCTTTATTTCTTTCTTCTTGTCTCCCTTCTCTTCTTCCCCCTTTTTTACTCTCTCCTATCCTCCTTTCATCCTTTCTCCATTTCTGTTTTGTTCCTTTACTCCCATCCTCCTTTTCTCTCTTTTTTTCTTCCTCGTTTCCTTCCACCCTATATTTCTCGATATCTATATTTCTTTAGTTCTCTCTTTCTCTTTTTTCAATTTTCCACTTTTTTCTGTCTTTCCTTTTTCCTTTACTTCTCCCATTTTTAATTTTCTCCCTTTGTCTCTTTCTCCATTTCTTCCATTCTCTTTTTCTCTTTTTTTCCTTTCCTCCTTTTCTTGCTTTCTACCTCTTTGTGTTTCTCTCTTTCTTTTGTTTTTCTTTCTCCCTTTGTCTCTTTCGCTCTTTCTTCCTTTCTCCTTTTCTCCATTTTTTTTGTTTCATTTTCTCCCTTCCCCTCTTTCTCCATTTTCTCTTTCTTCCTTGACCGTTTTTCCATTTCCCGCTTTCTTTTTTCTCCCTAGCCTTCTCTCCATTCTCACTTTCTTCTTTCTTCCCTTTCTCACGTTCTCTTTTCCTGTCTTTTATTCTTTCTTTCTTTTATTTATTTTATAATATTGCCCTTTACTTCATTCGTTCTCTACAAAAAAAAAATCCAGTGATACTATAAGTTTTGATTTTTATAAATTCTGGTAGAGATGTGTTTTCACTCCTTTCTGCTTAGGAACCATTTCTACACTTTCTGATTCTGATTAAATGAAGACAGTTATTTCTTTCCTTCTTTCTTTATTTCTTTCTCTCTACCTTTCTCCCTTCTCTTATTCTCCGTTTTTTTCTTTCTCCTATCTCCTTTTTGTCCTTTTCTGTATTTGTTCCTTTCTCTCTTTCGTTCTGTTTTCTTTCTTCCTTTCTCTCTTTCTCTCTTTGACTAATTCTCCATTTCTCTTTTTCTCCCTTAGTCCCTTCCTCTCTTTGTCCCTTTTTCCTTCCTCCTTTGCTTCCGTCCTGTTTTCATTGCTATCTATATTTCATTACTTCTCTCTTTGTCCTTTTACCATTTCCCTCTTTCTTTTTCTCTTTCTTTTTTCTTTCTCCTTCCTCTAATTTTTTCCCTTTCTTCCATTCCACTTTTCTTTTTTTTCTTTCGTTCTTGTCTTATCCCTTCTCTTTTCGTCCTTTTTTCCGTCTCACTTTTTCCTTTCCTCCTTTTCTGAATTTCTTCCTCTCTCTCTTTCTGTTTTTCTCTTTTTCTTTCGTTTTTCTTTTTTCCTTTGTCTCTCTCGCTATCGCTCTTTCTTCCTTTCTGATTTTCTCCATTTCTGATTTTTTCATTTTTCCCTTCCTCATTTTCTCCTTTGCTTCCATTTCGTCTTCCTTGCTTTCTATATTTCTTTACTTCTCTGTTTGTTACTGTCAGCTTGCTTTCATTTCCCTATTTTTTTCTCTCTTTCTCCCGTTCCACTTTTCTTCCTGTCTCTCCTTCCCCCGTCCTCCATTCTCACTTTCTTCTTTCCTTTCTTTCTCACTTCCTCCTTTTCTCTCTTTCATCCTTTGTTTCTGTTTTTTTACCTCTAATTTTTATAATATCGTCTTTTGATTCATTCGTTTTCTAGGAAAAAATCTAGTGATACTATGAGTTCTGATTTTTATATATTCTCGTAGAGATTTGTTTTCACTCCTTTCTGCAAATGAACCATTTCTACATTTTCTGATTCTGATTAAACAAAGAGATTTGTTGGTGTTTTTGTTGTTCTTCTAGTTCTTTCATTCTTGTTTCTTTTTCCATTGTCTCTTCTCTTCGCCTCCTTTTTTCCCTCTCTACTATCCTCCTTCTCACCTTTTCTGTTTTTCTTCCATTCTCTCTATCTTACCTTCTCTTTTTCTGTGTTTCTCTCTTTCTCTCTTTGGCTTTTTCTCCATTTCCCCTTTGCTTCATTTCCGCTTTTCTCCCTTAATCCCTTCTCCCTTCCTTTCTTTTTTTTTCCCCCGTTCCTTCCATCCAGTCTTTCTCGCTATCTATCTTTCTTCACTTCTCCCTTTCTACATTTCTTTCTTTCTGTCTCTCTTTCTTTTTATTTTCTTTCCCCCTTTTTAATTGTCTCCCTGTTCTCTTTCTCTATTTAACTCCTTCTTTTTTTCCCTTTTCTTCCTTTCCGCCTTTCCATTTTTCCACCTTTCGTTCTGTATTTCTTTCTTCTCAGTTTTATAATATTGTCTTTTGCTACATTCGTTTTTTAGGAAAAAAAATCTAGTGATACTATGAGTTTTGATTTTTATAAATTCTGGTAGAGATTTGTTTTCACTCCTTTCTGCTTATGAACCATTTCTACACTTTTTGATTCTGGTTCAATGAAGACAATTGTAAGAGATTTTTGATGTTCTTCCCGTTCTTTCCTTCTTTCTTTATTTCTTTCTTTCTTCCCTTCTCCCTTCTCTTCTTCCCCCTTTTTTCCTTTCTTCTATATTCTTTTTGTCTTTTTCTCTCTTTGTTTCTTTCTCTCTTTCGTTCTGTTTTCTTTCTCCCTTTCGCTATTTCTCCATTTTCCTTTTTCTCCCTTAGTCCCTTACTCCCTTTGTCCCTTTTGCTTCCTCCTTTCCTTTCGTCCTGTCTTCATCGCTATCTATATTTCTTTACTTTTCTCTTTCTTTTTTCTTTCTCCTCCTTCTAATTTTTTCCCTTTCTCCCTTTCCACTTTTCTTCCTGTTCTTTCGTTCTTGCCTTCTCCCTTCTTTTCGCCCTTTTTTCCCTCTCATTTTATCCTTTCCTCCTTTTCTGTCTTTCTTCCCTTCGCTCTTTCTGTTGTTTCTCTTTTTCTTCCGTTTTTCTTTTTTTCTTTGTCTCTCTCTCTCTATCGCCTTTTCTTCCTTTCTGATTTTTTCCATTTCTGATTTTCTCATTTTTCCCCTTCCTCATTTTCTCCATTTTCTCTTCCACCTTTGCTTCCATTCCGTCTTTCTCGCTTTCTTTTATTTCCCTATTTTTTTCTGTCTTTTTTTTTTCTCCGTTTCCACCTTTCTTCCTCTCTCTCTGTCCCCCGTCCTCCATTCTCACTTTCTTCTTTCCTTTCTTTCTCACTTCCTCCTTTTTTTTTCTTTCATCCTTTGTGTCTGTTTTTCTTACCTCTAACTTTTATAATACTGTCTGATGAGTATTGATTCTTATAAATTCTCGTAGATTTGTTTTCACTCCTTTCGGCGAATAAACCATTTCTACACTATCTGATTCTGATTAAACAAAGAGATTTGTAGGTTTTTTGTTGTTCTTCTAGTTCTTTCTTTAGTTCTTCCTTTTTTCTTATTCTTTCTTGCTTTCTTTTTTTTCATTCTCCCTTCTCTTTATCCCCTTTTTTCCTCCCTTCTATCCTCCTTTTCCCCTTTTCTGTTTTTCTTCCTTTCTCTCTTTCTGTGTTTCTCTCTTTCTTTCTTTTTCCTTTCTCTCTTTCTCTCCTTTGCTTTTTCTCCAATTCTCCTTTGCGGCATTTCCGCTTTACTTCCTTATTCCCTTCCTCTCTTTCTTCCTTTTTCCTTCCTCCTTTCCTTCCGTCCTGTCTTTCTCCCTCTCTATATGTCTTTACTTTTCCCTTTCTACCTTTCTTTCTTTCTTTCTCTCTTTCCTTTTACTGTCTTTCCCCCCCTTTTAATTTTCTCCGTATCTCTCTTTCTCCATTTCTCCCCTTCTTTTTTCCCTTTCCCCCCTTCCATCTTTCCATCTTTCCACTTTTCTTTCTGTCTTTCTTTCTTTTCAGTGTTATAATATTGTCTTTTGCTTCATCGTTCTAAAAAAATTCCAGTGATACTATAAGTGTTGATTTTTATAAATTCTTGTAGAGATTCTCTGTTGTAAGTGATTTTTGTTGTTCTTCTCGTTCTTTCTCTCCTTCTTTTTTTCTTTCTTTCTTCCTTTCTGCCTTCTCTTTTTCCTCTTTCTTTCTCTCTCCTATCCTACTTTTCTCCTTTTGTCTTTCTGCCTTTGTCCCTTTCTGTGTTTATCTTTTTCTTTCTCTCTTTCTCCATTTCTCTCATTCTCTTTTCCTCCGTTCCCACCTTTCTTCCTTTTCTTTCATTCTTCCTTTCTTTCTGTCTTTCTTTCTTCTACGAAAAAAATCTCCACTGATACTATGAGTTTTGATTTTTATAAAACTCACTCCTTTCGGCTAATGGACCAGTTCTACAGGGTGTTATTGAAAGGTACGTACAACAAAATTGACAGTTATTCGGGAAGTCTAAGAAGTCTGAAAAACTTATTTTGTGTTATCAAAATTATAAGGGGAAAATTAACCCTTATCCAAACTTTTTAGACGCTACTGAAGGATAAATAGGTAAAATTAATTTATTTTAGTAAATCCTAGCAACTGTAAGAATAAAACTTTTGTCAAGACTAAATGTTGATATAGAAACGAAAAATGATCTTTTTATCAGAGGCGTACAACGAATTTGGACATACAATTTAATAATTTTTATCTCTAAAAGGAAAACACTTTTACCTGAACTTTTTTTTACTTTTAGCACCCATACTTCGAGACCAACTGCCGATTTTATTTTGTACGTACCTTTCAATAACACGCTGTATACTATAGAAGTACAGATAAGTCACTAGAGCTCTAGTGGTCTACTGAAGTAATTTTTTTTTGTGCCTTCTCCACTTCGAACGAATGGTTAACTTTTTCGACGTTTCAGAAATCCTAGAATATGTAAAAATAGGTCTTCCACTGTCGTCTGTGTCGATTTTTATTAAACAAATAATCTCTGAAACTACTGAGCCACTATGTTTTTCTGATGCTGCGTCTGATCAATAATTTTTTAATATGTAAAGAACATCATAGAAAAATCGAAAAATCACATTTTATTATTTCTCGAAGAAGCTCGATTTGCTGGACTCAGGGGGAGGGAAATTCTGTCTAAATAAGTTTGAACCAAGTTTTCTGTGTCATATTCAGTATCATATTAAATTTTAAATTTGTCTATTTTCTTTTTATTTTGAGGCATTCAAAACACTTCATACAAAACCGCTGTGATGTCATATCACATTTTCGAGTTTCCGATAAGATAAGAGATACATTTTCAATAAAACGGATATTTTTTCTGATCGACTAGTATAGTTTTGGCATGATTTGGACAGAGCGTAAATACGTATTACGAAATTTTGCAAATACGTCCCTGATTTTATGTTAAGATTTGTTGGAAGTAGAGTTTAATCACAGTTTATTGTCACGTTCGGTATTAAAACAACAAACACGCAACCGTAAAATCCATCATAAATATCATATTACATGACTTTTAACAAAATTAAAGTTGTGTTTGTTAAATGCTTTATTAATTTAAATTCTTTTTTATTTAAAGTTATTGTTCCAACAACTGTCACCATTTTTATATTTATTTGCGACGTTGAAGGAAAACTCTGCGTCTCAAGCAATTGAAACAAATTGGGTTTAGCTCTCCTAATCAGGACGCGTTGCGCGCTTAGGTTGGGTTAGAGAACTTAAAAACATATATTACAATGAAATCATTATTTTCAATCAGAATTGATTTATTTTAAAATTAAATATATATGACACAACTATAGAATAGAGTACATTTTTAGCAGTGTATTTAGCATTCTATTTCTGTTTCAACCTTAGACTGTTTACGTTCATTTCCATTTAAATTTTGTTTACATTCCACAAATCTCCTAGTAACATTCCACCTCCCCTTCATAAATTTCGTTTAAAATTATGATCATGAAAGCTCAGTTAATTGTTTCATTAATGCATCGATCCCTATCTTTTAAACGTACAACACGCAGGACCGTATCAGCCGTCATAAACTAATAAAAACACCGATGCTAATCTCCGCAAAATAATTATTAAATAAACCGCGTGAGTAATGGGCAAAATAAAGCCTTCACGCTGTAATCTCCCATCTTGCTATCCCTATATTTAGAGTTCGAAAAAGAGATAATCGCGACGTGCCAGGGCCGTATCGAACCAGCGATCGCGCACTCTATGCATGCAACTAAATCACGATTTAAACAACTTCCGGATCATGTTTGTTGATTTACAGTGCAGGGGAAACACCCGCTTTCATGCCAATATGGCGCCGCTTTATCTCGGCCCGATAAATGAGAAAATCGCTGATAAGGGGGCAACTAGACGGTGCTCGACGTGTAGTAATGAGTTTTTAGCGGTGCATTGTAAATTGCGCTACATTATCGCTTGTCATGCTATGAAAAAATTGAGCGAGAATTATTTGTCGTTCTCTCGCATATAACTCAAGCAAATTAGACCGGAAAACCCCACCGAGCCCTCCGCCTTTCATTAAATTGAATCCCCAGCAGTTCGCACGAGATCTAGGCCCACTCAAAATGCATCGACCATTGAGCCGGGGGCGGCCATCTCCGGACTAAAGCGTCCAATAACCATAAAAAACACCCTCGGCCCCCGTTGAAATTTTTTTATCGAAATAAATGCCACGTCTCGAGATCGCGCTGACCTTCCGCTTTATCTCCTGGACGGTCCTTTCCTGATGAAATTTATGTAAATTATAGGGGAAACAGTCCCCTTAGTAAGTACGAGTCATAGTCGGGGAGTTCCGTTGCGTAGGAATGCATAAAAGGTGTTGCGACGAGTTATTCGATCCGTCTAGAGGTTACATCTTGGAAATTTTCATTTCAATAAAAGGACGACGTGAGCAACCTTAAGATGTATTTATGGCCGTCGTATAAGCTCGCTCCATTTTTTTACGCTAGTAGTGGATGGGTTTTAGGGGGGTGTAGTCCATTTAATAAATAATTTGGGGGATTTTTTTCTTTATTATTGCCTCTCGGGTGATCGTTCAAAGAGACGTGTGATTTATTTGCAGATGAACGGGAAAAAAAGACGTTTTGCGGTTTTAGGGGAGGGAGAATTTTGTTCGTGGTGTTTTAAATTGGAATAATCTGACTGTATTCTCGGCTTTATTGACGACAAATCACTTGTTTAAAATGTAAATTTCTAGGTACCGTGGAAAGTCTAGATGTATAGGATAACGTATTTAAACCCCGTTGTTGGTTACGTCTATCACTTATAGAAAGTAAAACTGCAAAATTTATTGCTAGAAAAACACAATTATTCAAAAATACATAACTGCTTGAAATTATTAGAAATAAAAGTTATAAATAATATAAATAGAACAAATAAAAATTTCAACATAAAAAGAGATGAGGGAAGACATTTTATTCGAAGATTTTTTCATATTCATAGGGAATATGAGTTTTCAACACTATTTCAAGCTTTCTCACAAACATAATATAAGGAACATTAAGATTCTTTCACATATTAAAAGAAAAATACACCAGGAAATCCCAAAATTCCTTCAAACTATTTCACAAACAGAACACAAAGGATACCTCAATTTTTTTTCAAATTCTTTCAAAAATAAAACACTAGAGTTGTCAAGATTTCTTCAAATTTTTTAAAAATAAGGGACAAATGTTCGGTTATATTTTTAACAAAAGACACTAGACGGTGCCAAAATTCTCTCGCATATGAAAGACGGAACTCTAGGGCTTCATAATATTCCTTTTTTTTATTTCTCTCAAAAATTAAACAAGAGGAGGCCTAAAAATTACCAAGAGTTTATCAAATTCTTTCACCGATTAACATAAATAACCCCCAAGATTCTCCCACACACTAAAAAAGACTAGGGTTTTCCCAAGATTTTTTAAAATTCTTTCAAAATTAAACACCCGGGTCTGACGATTTCTTCCAATTCTTTCAAAAATGAAACACAAGAAGCCCGGAAATTTCGCTCATATTTTCAAAAATCAGTACTCAACGCTCCCAGAATTCTTTTTAATTAAAAAAAACACTACGAAATCCAAAAGTTTTCAAAATGAAAACAAAAGATCGTGAAATTGCGTTCATTTTTTAGAAATAAATATTGAACGGTCCCAAAATTCTTTCAGTTATTAAAGAAAAGTCACTAGGATCTTCCAACACATTTAAAAAAAAATCTAGTGGTCCTCGATTTTTTTTTCAAATTTTCTCAAAAATTAAACAAGTAGATAATTCTTAAGATGTTTTCAAATTCTTTCTTAAAAAAACAACAATTGTTACCCTAAGATTTTTTTAAAATCCTTTCAAAAATAAAACACGAGAGGTACAAAGATTTTTTCTTATTAAAAAAAACTACAAACTTCCATTTTTTTACCACGATTTGTTCATATTTTTAAAAATCGACACTAAACGGTTCTAGAATTTTTTCACACATTAAAAAAAAGGCCACTAGGATTCCCTAAGACAATTTTAGACGATTTAAAAAAACAGTGGTTCTAGATTTTTTTTTTCAAAAATTAAATAAGAGGACTACCGATAATTGTCAAGATTTTTATAAACTCTTTCAAGAACAAACATAAAAAATCCAGAAGAATATTTTTCTAATTAAAAATCCTTTTTTTCTCAAAACTAGAACACTTAGGATCGTGAAATTTCGTTCATATTTTAAAAAATAAACATGAAACCGTCCCAAGATTCTTTCAGTTATTAAAGGAAAGTCACTAGGATGTTCCAAGACATTTTCCCACGGTCAAAAAAATCCAGTGCTTCTCAAATTTTGTTCAAATTCTCTCAAAAATGAAAGATTAAGATATTTTCAAATTTTTTCTTAAAAAAAAAACATGGTTACCCTAAGATTCTTTAGAGGCCACCACAAGATTGCATTTTTTTTTTTATTTTTCTAAATTAGAACGTCAGGGATTTCCAGATTTCCTCAAATTCGTTCAAAAATAAAACACAAGGAGTACCGAAATTTCGTTCGTGTTTTTAAAAATCGAGACTCAACGATTCCAGAATTTTTTCACGTTTGAGGAAAAGTCATTAGGATTCCCTAAGATATTTTTAGACGATTTAAAAAATAGTGGATCAAATTTTATTTTATTTTTCAAAAATTAAATAATATTTCCGATAATTCTCAAGATTTTTTTAAACACTTTCAAGAACAAAACATGGAAAATCCAGAAGATTATTCTTTCCAATTAAAATAAAAACACTACAAAATCC